GGTGGTTGGAGGGACAGGGTGAACAAGGGGAAGGGATTAAGAAGTAAAAATTGGCAATTACAAAATAGTTATAAGGATGTAAAGTAAAGCATAGAGAATATAGTCATAATATGGTAATAGCTATGTATATTGCCAGTTGAGTACCGAACTAGTGAGTACTAATTTAATTCTTAAATTATACAAATGTCTAAGCACTATGCTGTACACCTCAAATTAATACAAAATAACATCGTGTTAACTGTAATTGAAAAATTTTAAAGGAAGGGGAAAGGTAAAGGGGAATAAGAGGTTCAAAGTTCCAGGTATAAAACAAATAAGTCACAGGCTTGTAATGTACAGCGTGGGGAATATATCACAATATATTGTGATAGCGTGGTACAGTGTCAGATGGTTGCTGGACTTATGGTGATCACTTCTTTAGGTATATAAATGTTGAACAACTATGGTGCACACCTGAAATTGATATGACATTGTATGATAGCTCTATTTTTTTAATTAAAATCTTTAAAAAGTGGGAGAAATACCAAGTAGTTCCAAACTGGAAATGACCCAAATATCCTTCAAGGAGTTTATGGTTAAACAAGCTGTGACACAAGCATACCACATAATATTACTCAGTAACAAAAACAAATTATTGATACAATAATTTAGGTGTCTCTTCAGGGCATTATGCTATGGTGAAAAAAAGCCTATCTCAAAAGATCTCATGCTGAATGATTCCATTTATATAACCTTCTTGAAATGACAAAATTATAGAGATGGAGAACAGATTAGTGGTTGCCAGAGGTTAGGGGGAGTGGAGGGGTGAGGAGAGTTGGTGAGTGACTATAAATAGTGAGTGAGATCTTTGTGGTGATGGAATAATTTTGTATCTTGATTGCAGTGGTGTGATATTTTGGGGTGTGATAGAATGGCATCAAGCTATAGATACACTTTGTACCTATGCCAATTTCTTGGTTTTGATGTTAAAAGCCCTTGGGGGAAACTGGGTGAAGGATACACAGGACCTCTCTCCTACAGTTGACCCTTGAACAACCTGCGGGTTAGGGGCACTGACCCCTGTGCAGTTGAAATTTCATGTATAACTTTTGACTCCCCCGAAATTTAACTACAGTGGTCCCTCAGTATCCACTGGGGATTGGTTTCAGGATCCCCTCGAATACCAAAATCCTAAAATGCTCAAGTCCCTTGTATAAAATGGTGGAGAACAATGCATACAGCCAGCACTCCTCATCCGCAGATTTCCAACTGTGAATGGAAAATACAGTTTTTATCTACAGTGGGTTCAACCCCCAGATGCAAAACCTGGGGATAAAGAGGTCCGACTGTATATTTATTGAAGACAGTCCACGTATAAGTGTACCCAGCGCAGTTCAAATCCATGTTGTTCAAGGGTCAACTGTACTACTATCATTGCAACTTCCTATGAATCTGTACTTATTTCAAAATCAAACACATACACAGAGTGACACAAAGCCATTGGGAGCATAGTAGACTGTTTTGATGGAGGAGGAGTTGACATCACAGTAATGTGAAAAAACCTCATGCAAAGCAGCCAAGGCTTCCACTTAGAGCAGCGGTTCTCAACCTGTGGGTCGCGACCCCTTTGTGGTCGAACGACCCTTTCACAGGGGTCACCGGGTACTCGTATGTGGGCGTATCTGCCTGTGGGCCTGGAGACGGATAGAGGAGCCGTGTCTCGGTTCCTAAGACCATCGAAAATATGTGTTTTCCGATGGTCTTAGGCGACCCCTGTGAAAGGTTGAGAACCGCTGACTTAGAGTTTCTCCGCTCTTGAAACGTCATTCACCACCTGCCCTCTTTTGACATTCCTGGCACACCACTTCAGCCACCTTGGTCTTCCCTCACCTTGCCAGCTCCTTCCCCTCCCTCCTGACTGTGTTCTGGGTAACTTTCACTTCCATCTGTCCCCTCCCACACTTCCTTCCCACCTCTACCTTGGGCTGCCAATCAAATGCCACTTTTTGGCCCCACCCCAGGGCAGCTAATCAGAGCTAGCCATCCTCCTTTCCAAGAAATGGGCATGTGATTCCAATTGTGCCAATCAGAGACTTGCAGAGGGTTGTTGTGTGATCCCTGCAATTATGGGTGCAAATGAGGCTTTTCATGCACACCTCCAGGGGGTAACCACTCATAATGTGTTCTATATACCTTTTGCCTCAGAGGGACTCTAAGCTGGAGTGCCAGAGGAAGAAACTGTGAGAAAGAAGGACCTGCCAAAATGTCAAATCTATACCAGGCAAGGCAAGAAGGGCTTCTGTAGGTGTAGACATGCCAAGAAGGAGGGGGCCATAGCCAAGCAAGTGGGCACTGCCCCCGGCACACCTGCCTCCCAGACCACCCACATTTCCTCCCAGGGAACCTGTTACCCTCAGGCGGGCTCCTGACAGCCAAGGACCCCCCACGTGCCTCAGACAGCCACTAAGGCAGGCCCAGATCCTTCCATGAGTAGCATCACAGCACCACACTTCCATGGACGTCTTTGTGGGCTCACCTGTCACTCATCTGTTGTGCAGGGTGGGTGATGAGTTGGAGGAGACGAGAGTCCTGGAGTACAGGGCTTAGTGGGTAGAGAGGAGGGGTTCTCATTACAGAGCAGGTCAAGTCTAGAATAAGTGTCTTCTGGGAGGCCAGAATCCCTGGGGTGGGCGAGGCCAGTGGAGGCTGAAACTCGGGCCACACCACTCCTTTCTGGTGAAAGGGAAGTCAGGTGAGAGATGAGGAGCTGCCTGCAAGCCCAGCCCTCTGTCGCTCCGTCAGCCGCTCCACGCCACGCTCAGCGCTCCAGAGCTTCTGTGAGGGAATGGAGGCTGGCTGTCTGGCTCAGCCTGAAAACTGAGGCAAGTCAAGTTTGTTTTTCCTTTTACCCCCAACACAGACGCACACAGTCATTCTCCCTCTCTTTCCCCTCCAAGGCACGTCAGAGTTGCAGCAGGCTGGCTCTGGCGAGTGCTGTCTCTGCCCTCACCTGGTCACCTCATCCTGCTGGCCCCAAGGCCCCGCTTCTCTCTGCCCTGTTCCTGGCTCCCAGCCCCCAGCCACCCCTGGCAGCCAGGCCCAGCCAAGGCCAGGCTGTTTTGGAAAAGTGCTGGGAGGTGGCAGAATGTGCGGTCTGCAAGTTCCCACCAAACTGGCGCCCCAATCCCTGGACAAACAGCAGCCGTGTTTGCCTGTCCACAACAGCCTGTGTTCTCCTTCCAGGCCAGGAGATCCCGGGGGCAGTGAGCCGTGTGTGGGGCGGGCAGGCGGGCAGGCAGACGTCACCGACTCTCGGGCCCACAGGAGAGAGGCACGGACAGGCTGGGTGATGACAGGCCATGCCACCCGCCCAGCTGGGCCCTCCCACCCCGTGGCAGGGCGGTCAGGCTGAGGGCAGCCCAAAGACCACGCTTCTTCACCTCTGCTGCCACACAGGACATTCCACCAGGAGCGACGGAATTCACACTCTGAGTAACTACTACCTCCTGCTGGCACGTTTCCTGGTGGAAGCGTGGGGTGTTCACTGCTGCCTCTTACCTACCCTGGAGGCCTCTGTCTGAGGGAACCGCTCCAAGTGGGCATGTGCTGGTTGGGGTAGGTGGTCTGGTTCTGGCACAGGGACGACCCTGTGATTCTGTGAGGCCGTGGGAAAGTCCCTGTCACTCTGAGACTCTGCTTTATGTTATAGAAAATGGGGGACCTGACCCTTGCTCTCCCCCGACCCTGGGGAGGGTAGAGGTTGGGGCTAAGGCTCAGGGGGAGTAGGCCTGGGCACAGTGGGGAGTAGGCAGGTGAGGCAGAAAGATGGCACAGGGCAAAGGATGGGGATGGTCAGGGCTGCTGAGTGTCCTGCCCTGGGGACGTTGTTTGGAAGATGTTGGTGTTTCTCTTCTGGGTGGCCAGGCTCTGTGACCCAGGTAGGGAGAGGCCCAGGGTGTGTCTGCACCCGGGAATTCTGAGCCAAGATTGGGTCTGACTGACTGAATAGAAAAGAAATGCTGCAGCCACAAAAAGGCCTTTCTCAGGCCCGCTCCGGGGAGGTTTTCCCTCCCCGGGCTGTGGGGAGGGGACCAGGCATGGCAGAGGCTCCGACCAGCCTGGGCACTGTGAGGCCTTTCTCTCCCTGGTTCCTGGTGCAGCTCTGGGGGCCACGGCTCTGTCTCTCATTGCCTTCCCTCCCTACCCACAGCCCCTGAGTCCTGGGAATAGCCCTAGACATTCTTCTGTCAGCACTGAATCTCATGCCCTTTGCTGGCTTCACCTCCAACCTCTGTGACAGTCAGGGCACAGAGCAGCTTTTTACAGTTGATAATTTGCAAAGAGCACAACTGTTTGTCATCAGATGGGCTCAGGGAGCCCTGCAACCCGGGTCCACTCTACACCATGTTGCCCTTTAGTGTGTCTGTCTTTGGGCACAAGGTCCTGAGAAGTCCTGCAGTGAAAGAATTTGCCTACCTAAGATTAACACCTCCCCCAAACTTATTTGATCAGAGAATCTATTTGATCCTGCAACACCCATGAAACAGCCTTTGAGAAGTGCCTTGTGGGGTGTGGAGCTGGGAGTCAAAGAGAATTGAATTCTGCTTCTTAATTCGTCATGTGGCCATGGACATCAGTGTAAACAAGATGGACTCTGAGGACAGGTCCTGAGCGCTCTGGGTTACTGCGTCCGGCACGGAGACACCTCGCCCAACCAGTCATGGCCACACTCTGCCAGGGGAGCTGGCTCCCAGCTGCTCCCTCCCCCAGTGGCCCCTCTGGGGCCAGTGGTAGTCCAGCGACACCTTTTCCTCCCCTTTTCCTCGAAAGACACTGCCACGGACTTCTCTTGTGCCTATGCACAAGGAATGGCAGGCTGGCCTCATAGGACAAATGTTTCCGGGAAGAACTTCCTGCTTAGCAGGTGGAACTGGGTGTTGCTGAAGGGAACATGGGTGTGTATGGTGTGTGGGGGGGGACCCTTTCAGTGAGAAGGCAGAGACCAGAGAGCCAAACAAGGGTGAGTCCCCACGGTTTATTATGGAAGCCTATAAAAGAGCCACAATGAGTACTTTCAAAATCACAAAATGCACAACATTCATTTTTTAATACGCAACATGGAATATTATATACAGATTAAGACCACATGACAGCAAAAACACTCACACGGCACCAGTTTCATATCAAAACAAAACACACAAGTGCTTTTTCAATATTAAAACAACTGTGATAAAAACATATTAATATTTTGAACCATGTTTACAATAGAGAAAAATTCATATTTTACTAAATAACAAATATTTAACAGCAAAAACTTTATACTAAATATCTATTTTGAATTATAACAAAAATAGTACTTATAATAGTTTATAAAGACAGACACAAAATTATAACATTTATGAAAAAAAAAAAAGTTTTGTGTATAAAATATTATAGCCATCTGGGCAGGGTCAGGATGGTGCCCAGAACATAAACGCCAGCGCCCAAAACATCGAAAGTGCTTCAATCTGCAAGCCCGTGGCAGGAAGAGTTTTGTGGGGTTTTGTCTTTTTAATGTCAAGTTACAATATTTAGGAATGGTAAGTGAGAAAACATCACCCATCTAATGCTATGTCTATAAAATCTACACACACACACACACACACACACACACACACACACACACGATGGACACGTAGAGGAGAGATGGATGAATTTCGACATTGGAACCCTCCCGTCAGCCAGTCAAGAGCTTTCTTCAGTTCTCTACTTGTTGCCTTTGAGACCCAGCGGGACAAATGATCCTTCTTTCCTCCCTCACAGGGATCCCCCTCAGCCTTTTCTCTGCCCCTCCCAGGCAGGTCCCTCCAACAGAAGGCCACTGAGGCCTTCCAAAGCCCTCCAGCCCTCCACCCCCCACCCCTCTCCAGGGCCAGCCGGTGGGCTTCCTGTCTGAAGCTGCACTCACTGCATTCCTAGATATTCAGTCGAGACTGGCTGGTTTGGGGCAAACTGGGTCAGCTCGAAGGCACACGAACCTTCCAGACACTGGGATTTTTTTGTGGGTGACCAATTCTGCTGCACCATGCAGCTATTTTGCAAGCTTTGACGAGTCTTTCCACAGTTTTGCCTGTTTTTCGGAATGTGGAGAAATTGAGAGATGTACTATGTTTTTTAAAATGTCGATTTTTGCCACTAATGTCTGTTCTACGCTGTTTTTTAATAGTGAAAAAGTAGGAACCAAATGAAACACTCAAGAATAGAGGGTTATAGGACAGTCCAGGGGGTGTGAGCTCTTTCCCATAAAGTCTACCACCGGGTTGGTGTGAGTAAAAGCCAAAGTTGGGGGGGTGGGGGCGCCTTCCGATCTGCCCACTCAACACCGTCAGGGGCGGCCACTGAGCCGTCACAGTGGTCACCGCTTGGAGAGGCAAGCATCTTCTTCTGTGTTTCTCGTTTTCTTGTAAAAAAGATTCACTGCTTTTATAACATCAAAAACCAATAGAGAAACATGGAAAGCAAAGAAAAATCCGAAAACAGACAAAATCACTGAAGACTCACCAAAGGCCCCACACCGGCCCCAGGAGGCATTCTAAATTGCCAACACTCAAAATGCCGGAGGCAGAAACTACTCCTCTTTCCCCTGACCGGCCAGTTTTCAAGCAAATCACTTCTGACAAATCACACATACCTGCCCCCTCCTCCTCCTCCTCCTCTTCCTCCTCCTCCTCCTCCTCCTCTTCGGTTCTTGCTGCAGCCTCCCCTGAAGCCGCCTCAAGACCAGGGCAGAGGCCAGGCCCAAGTCAGCTCTGAGGAAGCACTGCCTTCGACTCACCTCCCCTTGCTTTCATCTCATCCCCACACCCCTGAGCTGGGCTAAGCAGACAGTGGCATAGAGGTGGGAAGGGACTTCAAGGACATCTTTCCAAGGGCAAAGGGTGAGGGTTAAGGAAGGGACAACAGAGGCCCTTGCTCCCATCAGAAGAAAGAACCCGTATCCTCCCCCATGCGCACTAGCTGAGTAGGGGGCACCGGGAGAACAGTGACTATGCAGGAGATGGTGGCAGCCTCCAATCCTCACATTTTTGCCAGAGCAGGGAGGGAGGCATTGGGTCATGTCCCCATCTCCACCAGGGCACAAAGGCAGAGGCGCTGGGTTTTACCCCCGGGGTGAAGCTCTGAAGTTGAACCCATAGCAAGTCTGGAGGCTGGGGGAGCTGCTCAACCCTTAGCCAGGGAGGGCTGGGTCACTCGCAGAAGTCCTTCCCCAGGACAGCTGAGATGGCGGCTAGGGGACAGAGAAGATGCTATTCCAGTCCCCAGTAACACCAAGATTCGGTTATATCAGTGAATAAATATCAGCCAAGGGCCTTGGGTGTGTGTGACAGGGGAGCAGGGTGGGCTCAAGGCTGCTTGGGGGAACGGTGGGGATGTCAGTGCTGTGCGCACGCCGGGGGCCACCAGGGAGGGTGCTGGGAGGACAGAGCCTGGGGCTCCTTTGCCCCAAGGTCAGAGGAGAGAAAAAGTAGCAGCAATAGGTAATTTCAAATGTCCAAACTGGCAAAGGGGTGGGACCCCTCCAGGCTGGCTGTAGCCCCTGTCTCCGCCAAGAGTGACCATGTTCTATACCAGGATGCTGTTCTTTAGCGCACACCCAGAGGGGCACATGCCCCAGTCTGAGGAGAGGCAGGAGGGGAGACGGGTGCTGAAGAGGACACCTCTTTTCCTCCCCCACCCTACGTCAACCACTTGACCTCAAACTAAAAGGGTCCAAATGAGATGGGAAGGGAGGGGCTCACTGGGGAGATCACAGGCGAACGCTGCAGTGTGAGCTAACTGACATGTAACACTGTAGTGGGCATGCAGAGCCCCCAGCCATGCCCTGTCCCAGGAGCTAAGCTGGTGGGAACTGGAGAGAGACTGGGAAAAGCAGGAGCCAGGAGGCGGGCCCTGTGCCCCAGAAGAAGGAGGCCCTTTTGGCTTTGGGTAGGATTTGCCAGGGAGGGGGGACAGGGGAGGGCAAGGTATGAGGGCCGCTCCCCCCTCCCTGGGTTCCAGCTCCCTCCCACACACAGGTTTCTACCCTTCCATCTCCTCCCACCCCATGGCCTGGCTGGGCTGAGGTGGGGGTGTGGGCCAGGCCCTGTTAGACCGTGGCGCTCAGCATGGCCTCCGTCTCTGGCAGGATTTTGTTCTGGTTGGAGTCCAGGCCAAAGAACTTGACACTGAGGCCATCCACGGGGTGCAGGACAGGGACCAAGGTGATGCGGGGGAAGGTCCGGGTAGCCAGCTCAAAGCGGCTCGTGCTGGCCAGCTCCACCGCCAGCACCTTCAGGAAGAGCTTCGCCAGGTGCTTGCCCAGGCAGGTCCGGACCCCACCACCGAAGGGGAGGTAATGGAAGCGGCCGTCCTTGTCTTCACTCCGAGCCTGACCGAAGCGGTCGGGGTCAAATACGTTCACGTCTTTGAACACGGGCGCTGTGTCGTGGGTATCCCGGATGCTGTACATGACACTCCATCCTTTGGGGATCTGGAAACCCTGGAGGCACGATGGGGCAGGGTGGGGCGTTGAGAGCCAGGGGAGGGCTGAGGGGGCCCAGGACTTCCTGCCTGCCAGTCCCCCACTCAGATGTCCCTGGACACACCCCACTGTGGGCACCCACACCTGACCAGCACCCCTCAACATGTTAGTCCAGTCTCTTATTTACAGAATGTCCACACGCAACTTCACATGTGACACCCAGGCTTGGGGATGGGGTCTCTCCCATCAGACTGAGGTACCTTGAGGGGGAGTCTGGTCTTTCCCATCAGCCAGCCCCCGGCACCACCCCCCAACCCCAAGGGCCCAGCCTCACATCAAGCTCGAAGGTCTGCAGCACGGTGCGGTAGCCGCCAGAAATGGGCGTGAAGAGGCGCATGACCTCCTTGATGACGCAGTCCAGGTAGTGCAGGCCGCTGAGCGTGTCGAGGCGCAGCGTGCCCTCGCAGGGGCAGCCGCCGCTGTGCAGGATGCCCTGGGCCCGCAGCTCTTCCCGCAGCTTCTCCAGCACAGCTGGGTGCTTCAGCAGCTGCATGATGAGTGACGTGCTGGCGCTGGCAGTGGTGGCATAGGCTGCAAAGATCAACTCCAGGGTCCCGTCCTGCAACGTAAAGGACAGGCACCATTAGCAATGTGGATTCAGCCGGGCAGGCCCAGCCTGGGGGCAGCCCCACTCTGCCAGGGTCCCCCATGCCCCCGAGTCATCTAGCTGGGTCCTGCCTACTTCCTCAGGCCTCACGTTGCTGGGCATCTGGGCCACGATGGACACAAGTGAGATGGCCAGTCCCCTGACTTGGCAGGAGATACAACTGTTGCAACCCAGGGCAGAGGCACTAGCCTGATAGTCCCATGGGGCAGGGCCACTTCTAACTCACTGCTGGATTCTGGGGGGACTAAGCCCCAGCAGCCTAATCAGTGCAGTGAGCTCACAAAAATATGGAAAAGCTCCCAAGGAGCCAGGCACTGTGCGGGTGAGTGGGGTGGGGGAGTGCCAGGCTGAAACTCCAGCCTTCCACCTTGCAGCCCCAACTCCTTCCTCCACTCCTAGGAGCACAACACGTTTGGGAGGCAGTCCGGGGCCACATGCGCGAGGACCTGGGATGAGACTACAGTGAGAAGGCTGAGGGGGGACGGTCCACAGAGGACTTAAAAGACTCCGCCAGGGTCCCCTGGGGAGCAAGGAGCCTGGGCCGTGTGTGCCCCATAGACAGGGCCCAGTAGGTCATTACATTCCAAACCCTGCACTTTACAAATGTGGACACTGGGCCCAGAGAGGGGAGTGAAGGGACCTGGGTCCCTTACTTGCCATGGCACCACCTACAAGTCAAAAACTTCTTGTGAAATAGTAAAGTCATTTGGGCTCCTTCCTGACTCATCAGGAAGAAAGATGAAGCTAGAAGAGGGGTTAGCAAAGACTGGGGGGACAGAAAGGCCTGAGATAAGTCTCTGCAGGCACCTGGCAAGCTGTGGGTGGCAGAGTCTAAACAAGGATGAACTAATGGGTCCCTTCTCAGGTGAGACATCCATCCTAAAAAAGGGTGGGAAGGAAGCTCTTCTCAGAGTGGACAGCCTTGGTGCTGGCAGCCTAAGTGGGCTTCACAAGTGCCAGGCAGGGTGGGAGGGTGTCCAATGCCACCAACTCGAAAAGGCTGGTGAGAAAGGGAAGAGACCCACGGTAGGTCCAAACCTCCCCAGCTCTTCCCCAACGGCTGGGCTGTCCTCACTCACGTGGCTTGGCCTGAGTTTCCCTAGGTGACCTCCCAGGGCTACTGGGGTCATGAAAATGTAAAGATTGGAGGGAGGGGGAGAGGGGTCAACAAACATCGCTGACATTGAGTCCATTCAGAGGTTCTTAAGGGCCAATTTGTCACATCTTTTCCAAAATGGTAGCTAGCCCGGTGAGCGGAATGGAGGGCGTGGGGCTCAGTGTCAAGGGGACCCTCTCACCACAAGGACTGGGTGCACAGCAAGTCGTGGGGAGAGAAGGGGCAGCCCCACCCCTTGTGGATGTTTCTCATCCTACCACCAGACTGTGTGCACTGCAGGCAGGGATATGGTCCCTCCTCGGGCTTAGCCCCCAGCCTCATGCAGTGATGGCCACCACAGCTGCTCAGAAATAGTCCCTGTGAAATGGGACTAGAAAAGGTAGAAGTGGCCGGTGCTGTCCACTCTGGGGCAGCCCCAGGGTGGGACGTGGGGCGCTCTCTCGTGCTGCCTGGAGGGGAGGGCCCCCACCTTCAGCTCCTGCATGGTCATCTCCTTCCCGTGCTCCTTGCTGCTCTCGATGAGGATATCCAGTGCGTCCGAGTAGTCCTTGCCCTGCGTGCACTGCAGCTTCTCCCGGATTGCCTTTTCCAAGCCCTTCTGTAAGGTCTGCCGTGCCTGAATGCCCTGAGGGGAGAAGGAGGCCATCCTGTCACCCAAGGGTAAGTGCAGGGCCACCATAGGCCTTCTTCCAAAGTGGGGCGGGGTAGGGGACCCCTATGGGAACTTCCCCTCTCATTCACAGAGGCCACCCCATCCTCCCACTGACACTCCCCTCTGTCTCTGTAGGCCACCCCCTCCCTCAAGGGGGGCCCATGGATGACCATCTCCTCTCCTCCCAGGCCCTGGGTGCTCACCCTCCGGTAGCCACTAAAGGGCAAGTCGACAGGCAGGGAGAAGACATTCTCCACAAATTGCTGATAGACCTCGAAGAGATGCCCGAGTTCCTCTTCGGGAATGCTGAAGCCCAGGAGCACGCGGATGGCCATGCGGAAGGTGAGTTTCTGTGCCTCCTGGTACACGTTGATGGCCTCGGGGCGGCTGCTCCAGGCCCGCAGTGTGTCCTGGATCACCAGCTGGATCTTGGGCAGGTAGCTCTCCAGAGCCTCATGGCTGAAGATCTTGGAGAAGACCTATAGGGCAGAGAGGTGGGCAAGCTGGTCAGATAGGCTCTGGCTGCCGACGAGGCTCCCGGAGGCCTGGCGGAAGCAAGGGTCCCATGGCTTCGACTGGGGAAAACTCAAGGTCCTCATGCGTCCAAGCTCCCCCCTCAGTCACCCAGACAGTCCCCTCATTGGCTCCCCTATTCGGAACGCCTCTCACTGCCTGTGTCTTGGTGGGGAGTGGCAGGGGAAGAACAGGATTAAAACATAGTTCCTAAGTACTTTTGTTCAAAGTCAAGACCTTCCACGTCACTCACAGAGTGACCTGAGCTATCATCTCCTGTCTTGACTTTCAGAAAAGCACGTACTCCAAACAATGGCAAAGCCCAGGGGACTGGGCAGTCCAGCTGCCAGTAGGTCTGCAGGTGAGGTGGCTGTACAAGCCATGGGGGCAACAGAGGAGTCTGGGCAGTGCTGGAGGGGAGGCTGCCCTCCACTGCAGAGGCCCATTCTTAAACTCTCAGGCCACAGGGCAGAAATACCAAGGAGGAGTGTGGCACAGGTGAGTGAACTGGACAGGAAGAGGTGGAAAGCAGTCAATCGGTGGCTCTTCTATTCCACTGATGGGAGAACAAGGGAGTCTGAGGCTAGACTGCAAGAAGGGCTTCCTGAGACCAAAATGTATTCTCACTCTCTGGGAAACACCTACTGGGTAGGGATCCTAGGGAGTTTGTTAACAGCTGTGCCATCAAAATGTCTTCAGTGTGGCCGGGTCTGGAGGCAGGGGGATGGGGGCCAGGTTTTCTACCCCAAAAGATCACAAAGGCACACAGAAGCCCTTTTACTTCCTTGCATCTTCCTGGTCCATTTTAAGTCCTCAACGAGTCTCTGCTGTTACCTGCCCTGCTTTCAGTCCTTCGGATCCCTCAGTAACGCTCTCCTGCCCCTCCTCACCCAGATGCCCCTGCACACGTTTGTCATGCTGCTGTCATGGTGTATAGGAGAGGGGAGAATGTTAGTTTATTTACTGATGGCCTGTGGGTCTCACTTGTAACCGACAACCTCCATTCCTCCAACCCCCAAAGTCCAGAGTCCAGAGCAGAAGGCAGTGGCCCCCATCAGCACCAAGGGGAAGGTCACGGGGAGGGGGAGGAGGAGGGGCAGCGTAGGGGAAGGAGACAAATATTTCTCCAGCCCCCTCACCCTGCTCCAAGCAAACCACACACACGCGCCCACCCTCCCCTTCTGCCCCCCAAACACAACCACCGCACAAACTGTAAATGTGAGAATTTCCCCTGCAGTCAGCTCGAGAAGGAAAAGGTAACATTTTCCTGGCCTCAGCCCTGCATGGCTAATGGGAGGGCTGGTTTGCAGAAATAACAGTGCTGGCCCTTCAGTGGCCCAGCCAGGCATTCACAATAGCACTTTCATTCCGAAATTCCCCGTGGGCAGAGGGAGGGAGGGAGGGAAGGAGGCCGCCAGTGAGGGGCAGAGAAGCCAGCACTGTTTGAGGCTGCTCCTGCTACTAAGGGACAGCTGAAAGGTAGACCGATGGGAGATGGCCAAGGGCAGCCCAGGCCTGCGTGGGTCGCTCACACCTTGCTCAGTTCAGGGTCCTGGGAATTTGCAGGGGGGACCTCAGCTTCCACCCTCCTCCACAGGGTTATGGATAAAGGCAGTGCTGTCTGCCTCAGCACCCCGCCCTAGTGTCCTTAGGGTTCCAGGTTCAGCTCTTGGTCAAAGAGTCTTATGGGGTGAGAGTGGGGGCCTTGTCCCCAGAGCCCAAAACCAGCCCACTAAGAGCTCTTGCAGAACAGCAAAGAGCCCACAGGGTGATCGGAAAGAGGCAAGTGGGAGCCGAGCAGGGTCATCAAGGAAGCAGAAAGGTAACTGTGGCTACCAGGCCTCAGTGGGGAGGCTGGAGGTGAGGACACGCAGGGACAGGGAGGCCATACCTGGCCCACAGCCAGCCAGCCCGGGGCTGACTGACGAGTGCCATCATGGAGGGGACAGGGGACAGGGCCTCCAGGGCCCCCAACGCAAGGAAGACCTGCGTTCAAAGGTGGGCGTGCAGAGGGCGCAAGAGGGCAGAGGCCACACTGACCAAAACCGGCCAAGGCCAAAGCCAAAGGCCAGCTAGGCTCTAAGATGCAGTGGGGTGGTGGTTAAACGCAGGCTGGGCGCCCAGAAACCTGAGTTTGAACCCCAGATCATCCGCCAGCTTACTGTGTGACCATGGCCAAGTTCCTCCCTAGCCTCAGCTTCCTCATCTGTAAAATGAAGGGGTTGCACCAGGCTGAGCTCTTTCTCCTTCCGCTGTACAGAGCACATAAACGCCGTATCTACGTGTCCCTAAGTAGATGCTATCCCCTCAAAGAAGCCCAAAATCTTGCACAGCATGATTCACCTGCTAAGTGCCTGCCAGGACCCCACTCACACACCCCACATGGGCTACAGTGGCCTAGGAGGGGCATCTAGGGTTACCGAAGGGCCCCCAGTGCATCCCCAGGTGTGCCCAAACGGAACCCACTGACAAACTCTGCCCTGCTACAAAGGTTACATTCCCTGCGCCCTCTAGTGATGGCCGCCTGAATAGCTCCTTCTCAAGCTTTGGGGCCAAGGAGGGCAGGGAGGACCCAAGGGGACCAGGGACTGAGCAGAGGGACTCCAAGGGCAGGCAGTCCAGACCTCGCCTCTAGGTGGGAAGGGGTCCGGAGCAAGGTCAGGAGCTGGAATGACCCCAGGAAACCCACCTACACTCTGTACCTGCAGGCTCCCCAGGCTGGGGCTTCTGAAAAGAGAATTGCAGCCAGGAGCAAGGCTCTTATAGTGACCCACCCATCAAGAAGTCTAACTGGAGGTTCTTGGGTCCCTTCTTACCTGGCTGTCCCATGATTCTCCTCAGGGCCTCCCTGAGGTAGAGAAACTACCCAAATGTGTAGCCAAGCGAAAACAGATTGCAGGCACTCCGGGACCAAGGGGTTTCACTCAGAGGTCACCAAGTCTGCGCCCCTGCCTCTAGCCCAGCTGCTGCACAGGCACGGGGCCCTCCCAGGCGCCGGGAAAACTCCAGGGCCTCATCCCTGGGTCTGTGCCCAGGGTTCACAACGTGGGCACTTCCCAAAGTCAGGGCAGCCCAGAAACCACCGCCCACCACAAAGGCCAGGAGGAGGCGGAGGTGCTGGCCAGGGCAGAGGGAGGCTATGATGGGGCGGGCGGGGTCAGGACTCGGGCATGTGGGAAGTTGCCCGGTAGAGCCACTCAGTGTGAAGAGGGGAAGGGTTCCCAGCCCCCAGAGCTGCCTGCCCTGACCACAGTAGTAACAGGAGCCAGGGTTGCTTTGTCTCCCTCTGGGGCTTCCCTCGGAATTCCCAAAAGTGAGCCAAGAATGCCGGACAAAGGTCATCGGAAACCAGCCCTGGCCCAGGCAAAAACCCTGCAGAGGGAGCAGCAGGTACGGACTTTCCACCAGGGCTGGTGCTGGGGAGAGCGAGGGCAGAGGATGGGGAGACCTGGGAACTCCCAGGCATAGACTCGGGCAGGGTGGGCCCCTGCCTTGCAGCATGTACTTGGAAACCCTCCCCCCACCCATGTTGGCTTCCCCAGCAA